TCGTTCGAAACACGCCCCATAATCACAGCTCTATGGAGCAGTATCAGACTCATATTCTGACTAGAATTGAGTCGGACTACGTCAGGCTAGTATAAGTGCTGAACACGCTAAAGAATGCTAAAACATGTTGAAACACGCTGGCACACGTCAACATACGGCAAGAAAGCCAACAGCGTATGCTCATAAGTGGGGCATAAATTACAGGTAAGTTATCTGATTGTTGACATACGGTAACTTGTGCATAACTGATGCGTAACTTATCAAGAACTTATCTCCAACGTATCTGTCGTGTTCCAGATGACCGCTGAACGCGTTTCTAACTTCCAGCTACTGTATAATGGCGTATTGGCAGCGTTCTGGTATAACGGGGCTGCAAAATGTGGGTCCTTAGGAAAGACCTAGTTATTAGGGCATTGCGCTTGGAATCCTGCGGTTGAGCCCCACTCCCACGGACTGCCACTCTGGATCAAGCAAGACCCTTACCCCCACGCTGCTCCCCTGGTGCCACAAGGATGGGTTAAATGCAGAGAGTGAATTTCATTGCTCTGTACTTGCGAGAGTGTAATGACAATAAAAAAAATAAAAAAAAAAACAGGAAAAAGAAATGGAGGACCCGGCAAGGCTGAGATGGGTATAAATGCTAGCTGTCCACCATCAGTATGATCTCATCAATAGGGTGAGCGTGAAGGCGAGTCCCTCGTTCACACCCACCGCCACGACCAACTAACCAACAAGCTTCCTGCCAGACATGACCCTTAATCTGCTGCCACTGCAAACCCTCCATCTTTCTTTTTTTATTACTGCTATGCAAGCCGGGTGCTCCAGGATTAAGAATCGATTCTTTTCTATTGGATCACAAAATAGATCACTGGTAATAAAAACTTTTTTTATCTGTAACCTGAACAATATTTAAAATTAAAATTCTGTTTATTTATACAGCGCTAATTCACAACACAAGTCATCTCGAGGAAGAAACCTCCAACAGAACCAGGCTCAGTGTGAGCGGCCATCTGCTGAGGCCGACTGGGGTTCAAGGAGACAGAAGTAGAGATACAAAAGGCGACTGTAAAAAGCGGCCCCTTCCAGGAAACATGGAACATGCAGATTTATATTAACACATCAACAGCAAGTTAATAAAGTAATGGCGGTTAATGAAGGGTGAAATTAATCTTCAGTTACATGAATAAATCTTTAGGAGTTAATAAAAGATTTGATTCAGGATTTTTTGAATTTTAATTTTTTTCTTTAACACAGCCATAAACCGAGAGCTTTAATGTTACCAGGGGACTTTAAGAGGTATCTTAAATAAGCCGATGTTATGCTTTAATAAACAGTGGACCAAAACGTCTAACATAAGGGACCATCTGAACATAAATTCATTAAACTAATGCCACTAAAGGTAATTCAACAAGTTCTTAAATGAATAATAATTAAACTTGTTTTTTACAGCAAAAAGTAAAGCACTGGATTATTCCTACTCTCATACTTCAGAACTGAGGTGTGAAGAACGGTCAGCTTCTTAAATAGCTCTGACATTTTGGCCCGTCTCATTTCCTTTTTTTTTTCCCTTTAAGCTTTAACACTTCTTAGCCAAGTGCAGCAGCTACTTCTGCTACAGGCCTTAAGGCTTATTTCTACTTTGAAACTAGGTCGTCTGCATAGCTGCACAGTGAACAAAAAGAAGTCCCCGCCTCCTCCGCAGACACTCCGCTGAACCTCTCCCCAATTGTAGCTGACCGCAGACAGGAGGCCGGCTTGTTTTGTTTTTATGACCGAAATTGTGGAAAACGACTCGTGAAGTTGGAGCAGCTAGAAGAGCGAGGTGGGCGAGAACGCTGGGACCCTTTTTCCAGCTGGATCTCCGCTCTTTTTCGCCCTCATGTCCCTCCGTTGTCGGACAAACTCGCCCCCACGTCCTCACCGCCTCGGCCGTATCTAGACCCACAGCGTATAGCGCAGACCACGCTTCAACACTGGACATAAATCAAAAATGTCTGTTTCAACCTCACTGCGACAGAATGCTGTAAGAGTATAACCAGCCCTTTAAGCGGCACTTTTCTCCTAAATGCTTTAAATCTAGAATCACCCAGTTTCATGTCTCCTATCAGACCAAAGCAAGGTAAAGAATAAATGTGGACCGGTTCTCAATTCCCAAGACGGTGAGTACGGACTCGCCAAATATGTTCTTACAAAGAACACAGTAAAGTGTGGACTCTGGGAGAAGGGGAGCACGCAGCATAAATATGGATCACTTGGAACAGAAGCGTACGGATGACATCACCACACGCTCTGCTCATCTGGGGCTGCATCTCACCTCCTGTTATTAATAGTCTCTAGATAATAATAAAAAATTCTTACTTTTTTCATTTATTGGGGAATAATAATGAACACAGTCAGATAAACACAAATCAAATGAACATTTTGCCAAA